GTAGCCCCGACCTCCAAATTCTTCCCATTTACAGCAAAAAAAACCCTGAACATAAGATAACAACAAGCCCAGGAAGAACTGAAAATGGAAAGAATAAGGTGAATTGTCAAGGGACCTCAGAACTTGAGGAATGACAGAATGCCACAGAAGATTACAACCCAGAATCACTGACATAGACTAAAAAATGCTTGCAAGAAAAATCTTTCATTCTAGTCAAAGAACTGGAAGAAGGATGGCATAATAACAGAAAACCTTTTATCTCAAAAGATTGTCTATTCTAGTCAAAAGCAACAGGAAGATACTATGCCCCTACTCCCCTTGCCTTGCATATTCAATAGGATTGAACCCATCCTACCCTTACCCCATAAGTAGGCAAAGAGCTCTTGATTCCTCTGCCAGGGTATCACATGGATCTAGCCATGAGCTAAGGTTTCCACTCCCACTTAGGATTAATGAAACTTATATAGTGATGGATGATGGCGAGGCTATTCAAACTTGATGTCCCCATCTGCCATCCAACTGATCTCAGGGGAGTCCGAGAGAATCAGAGTCACTGTCCCAACCTTGGCATCAATGAGATAGAATGAATGGTGTGGTGACAGGACTAGTCACTTTTCCACCCTGATTCGCCCCTTCCTTCGTATTATCAGGACCCAGTGGGAAGCTCAGATTCTGCCTCCACCCCTAGAAACAAAGTGGTGTGAGTCAACCCTCAGTTTTCTGTTTCTTGTGTCAGTGGGGCACAGTGGGGAAAGCTGAGCTTAATATCCCTAGTCAGAAGCAACAAGGAAGTTGCTTCATTTTGCACACAGGCCATTTTTTGCACAGCAGGGAACTGAGTGGGGCATACATGCGCACGCGCACACACACACACACACACACACACACACACACATCTGGTCTCTTGCTACAAGTGCAGACAAAAAAGGAAAAACAATATTAAAATAGAATCTGAGTTTTATAATAACCAAAATGTCCACAGTGAAATAAAAAAGAATCACTCATCATATAAGAAACAAAGAAAATCACAACCTGAATGAGAAAAGATAATCAACAGATGCCAACACTGAGATGAATCAGATGTTGGAGTCATCTGACAGGGACTTTAAAACAGAGTCATAAAAATGATTCAATAAGCAATTATGAATTCTCTTTGGAACAAATGAAATATAAAACATCTCAGCAAAGAAATAGAAGTAAAAAAAAAAAGAGAGACAAATGAAAACTATTGTACAATGATCCAACAGAAAACTCAATGGTTGATTCAAACATTAGAGTGGAGATAACAGAGGAGAGAATCAGTAGGATCGAGGGACCAATCAATAGAATTGACCCAATCTGAACAACAGGGAGGAAAAATAGACTAAAAATAAATAAATAAATAAGGAGAGTCTCAAGACCTGTGGGACAATAGCAAGAGAACCAATAGTGCTAACACTGGGATTTCAGAAAGAGAGGAGAGAAAGTGAATTTGAAGAAATGAATTTGAAGAACAATAGGTAAGACCTCCCCCAATTTAGAAAGACATCTACTATAGTCAAGAAGCAAAAGAATTCCAGATAGGATATGTCTAAAGAAATGAAAATCTAAGCATATCATAATTAATGTTCGAGAACTAAGGCCATGAAAAAAATCTCAAAAGCAATCAGAAGAAACTATGTTTTTCTTAAAAGGTACATCAGATTGAATGACAGATAATGTCTCTTTTGAAACATTGGAGGCTGAAATTAAGTGATACAACAATTTTCAAGTAATATAGAGAAAAGAATTATCAACTATGAATTTATATTTGGTGAAATTATCCCTCAAGAAATAAAGGGAAAAGAAAGACATTCTCAGATGAAGACAAACTAAGAAAATTTGTTGCCAATAAATTAATCCTTAAATAATGTCTAAGAAAGTTATCTAAACAGAAAGGAATTGATAACAGAAAGCTCAATTCAGAAAGGTAACAAGACTATCATAATGGGTAGGGATAAATAGAATACATAATCCTTTTTCTTATAAGTTTCTTAAATTACATTTGGTCATAGAAACAAAAATGAAAATCATGTATTTAATAGTTAATGTATATAAAGCACGGTTTTTTAGACTATTAGAAGTGGAAGGGTTAAAAGGATCTAAATGGAAGTTAGATATCTCTAATGCACAATACTAAAATGTCAATATTAGTAGGAGTGTAGTAATGTATGTACATAAAATACTTAAAAAACTACAAAGTGCTAGACTCAAAACACTAAAAATAAATCAGTATAAATAAAAAAATTCAAGCACAAACACAGGAAGATAAGAAGAGAGATACAGGGAAATACGAAACAAACACAACAACAAAAAATAGCAGACCTTAATCCTAGCATATCAAAAATTAAGTGTACTTGGTCTGGTCTAATAAATTAATTAAGAGACAGGTATCGACAGAGTAGAACAAAAACAAAACAAAGCAAAACAAATCCCAGAAGATCACATGATCTAACAACACGCTATATCCAAGAACTCACTTTAAATACAACAACCCATATAGGGTAAAATTAAAAGAATGGAAAAGGATTTAAAATGCTAATTAAAAATGGCAGTGGTGGCTATATTAATATCAGAAAAAGTTGGCTTTTGATGGAAGAAATTACTAGAGAGGAAAGGAACATCATATAATTATGAAAGGGTCAATCCACCAAGAAGATGTAACAATCCTAAATAAGTATGCACCAAATAATAAAGCCTCAAAATACATGAAGCAAAAATGAATAAAGCTGAAAGGAGAAATAAATAAAAATTATAGCTGGAAGCTTTATGATCTTATCTAAGTAATTGATACCACTAACAGAAAATCAGCAAAGACAAAAGAATGGAACAACACAACCAAGAGGATCTAATTGACATTTATAGAACACTCCATAAAAAATGCACATTTATTTTTTAAAAGATTATTTATTTATACAAGCACTGGGGTATAGTCAGAAGTGCAGGAGGGTGAGAGAATTCACCAGAGCCAGAGAGGGGAGCAGAACAGGCAGACCGATGAAGTACACTGCTGAGGGGACCAGTGGGTGCAGCAGGAGAGGTCTGCGCGCCATGTGGGACCCTCGCTAGTGGCCGGGGATTGAACTGGTGCTACAGAGGCTGTGGGCAGCTTTGCAGCCCAGCGCTCAACCGCTGCATCACCAGGGGAGGTCCACACATTTATTTTTAAGCGCTCATGGAACATTCTCCAAGATAGACCATATCTTGTGCCATAAATAACAGTAACTGAAATTTTAAAAGTTAATAGCTGAATAGAGGGGGCAAAGAAAGAGTCAATCAACTTGAACATAGAGCAATAGAAATTACCCAGTCTGAACAACAAATAGAAGATATATCTGGAGAAAAAAAATAACAGAGCCCCGGGGATCTAAAGATCTAACATTTGCATCACCAAAGTCCCAGAAGGAGAAAAGAAAGGTAATGGGCCTGAAAAAGTACTTGAAGAAATAATAGTTGAAAACTTTCCAAATTTTGGCAAAAGAAAAATTACAGATTCAAGAAGGTGAGTGAATCCTAACTAGAAAAATCCAAAGATATCCACACCAAGACAGCCTCAGTGTGTGTGTGTTTGTATACAATATATATACAATATGTGTGTTTAAAGCAATGAGAGAGAAATAACACTTTATTTATAGGTGGAAGAATATTAGAATGACAGGGGATTTCTCACCAGAAGCCATGAGGGCTAGAAGGAAGTTATATTTCAACTGCTGAAAGAAAAGAACTGTCAACCCAGAATCCTATAGTCAGCGAAAATATCCTCATGCATGAAGAGGAAATCAAGATATTCTCAAATGGAGGGACACTAACAGAATTTGTTTTCAGGTAATCTACCCTAAAAAATTCTCTATATGAAAGGGAATTTTGGAGCATCAGGAAGAACAAATAGGCAAAAATAAGGCTAAATACAATAGACTTTTCCTCTTAAGTTTTCTAAATTGTTTTTGATTGTTGAAACAAAGTTAAGATATTTATGTTATAAATTGGGGATGCTTAATGGAGCTAAGATTTCCATACTTCACTCAAACTGGTAAAATGATGATACCAGCAGACTCTGCTAAGTGATCTATTTATTTATCTATCTATCTATCTATTTATTTATTTATTTAAAGATTCTATTTATTTATTTATTTATTTTATTTATACAAGTCAGAAGTGCGGGAGGGTGAGAGAATTCACCAGAGCCAGAGCAGGGAGCAGAGCAGGCAGAAGGACCGAAGTACACTGCTGAGGGGAGCAGCGGGCGGCAGGAGAGGTCTGCGCGCCATGTGCGACCCTCCTTGGTGGCGGGGAGCAGCCGGGGATTGAACCAGTGCTGCAGAGGCTGCGGGCAGCTTCGCAACCCAGCGCTCAACCGATGCGCCACTGGGGAGGCCCCTCTGCTAAGTAATTTAGATATAATGTCACACCTAGAACAAACACTAATGGGCTGGACAAAGAGATATACTCAAGAACACTATAGATAAATCAAAATCAAAGTAAGAAAAGCAAGTAGTCCACAGAAAGATTTATTTATTTATGCATACAGGAACTGGGGTACAGGCCAGAGGTGCAGGGGGTGAGAGGATTCACCAGAGACAGAGTGGAGAATAGAACAGGCAGACTGACTGAAATACACTGAGCAGTGAAAGAGTCAGGAGGATCGGGGATCCTGGCCGGTCGGGGATAAAACTTGTGCTGCAGAGGCTGCTGATAGCTTCACAGCGCTGTGCCACCAGGCAGGCCCTGTAGTTGTCATTTTGTGTGTGATCTTTGCTTGGCATCAGGGGAGAGGAGTGACTGATTGAAAGGAACAGAAATTTCTCCACCTGAAAAGATGGCAGAATAACAGGCTCAGGGATACTGTGAGGTTTAAGATAAAGCATGTAAAACAAATGCATTAAGGCCTACACAGGAAGTTTATCATTTACCTTCAATAAATGATTGCTATCATTTTTGTTTAATAACGCAATTTTACTTTTTAATTTCAGTTCAACTTGGGTGCTCCCTTTGGTGCTGCATGTACTAAAATAGGAACAGGTATAGAGATTAGCTTGGCCCCTGCGCAGAGATGACACACAGATTCATGAAGTGTCCTGTGTTAAAAAAAAAGTAAGTCCAATTTGAGCTGTTCACTGAATCAATCTATTTTTTATGGGAGCTAAATTTATGTTTCAAAATGGATGTGAACCTCAGTGGTATGTTTGATGCAACTCATGTGCGCGTACATGCACACACACACACACACACATGCACTCAGGATGATGGAAAATGAAAGCCTAATGGTTAAATGATGTCATCATTCTTGCCTATGGCCTCTGCCATTATATCCTCATATTCTGGCAGGCCTGTTCCTCCAGATGGTCCCAAGACTGAGATTGTGCTTCATCTCCATCTCTCAGTCCACAGAATGTCCCAGAATTCAGCCTCCTTGGCTTGGATTAATTCATGTGCTCATTCTTGAGCCAAATACCCTAGCCAGGGGAGACGCAAAACTCAGTCTGGCCAGGCCTGTAGTTCTGCCTGCCCCTGGATCTGGGTGGATGATTTCTGCTGGAGCTCCAAGGGCTGGGAAGACTGACTGCCAGGATTTCCTTGAGGAAAATTCGTGACTGTTATTAGTGGTCTGGATGCTGGGTGGGCAGGCTTGCCATTTGTGACTGATGGTTATAGGCAGGGTGGGTTGTTCGTTTCCTAGGATTGTCATAGCAAAATAGAGTAGGTGGCTTAAGCAACAGAAATTTGTTATCTCATACTTCCAGAGGCTGGAAGTCCAAGATCAAGGGCTCTGCAAGATTGGTTCCTTCTAAGGGCTGTAAGGAAGTCTGTTCCCTGCTTCTCAGTGTCTTGTGGGTGGTCGGTGGTCTTTGGCACTCCTGGGCTTATTGGAGCATCACTTTAATCTCTGCCTTTGTTTTCCCTTGTTCTGCCTGTGTTTGTAATTCTCCCTTTTCAGTAGGGCACTGGTTGTATTGAATGAGGGCCCAATGAGGGTACAATGAGCTACCCTCATTGTAACTTGTTACCCATGTGAGGCCCGGTCTCCAAATGCTGTCACACTCTGTGGTGCTGGGGTTTGGGACTTCAACATAAGAATTTGTGGAGGACACAAATCAACCACGATAGGCAAGGGAGGTGGGGCCCCATCGAGAGCCTCTTTCTGGGGCAATGTACCCGTTGCATTGGCAGCGGTGAGAATTAAACTCAGCTGCAGGGATCTGACTGTCTACTCCCCTGGAAAGGCAGGGCTACACTCTCCCCACTTGGTGATGTCCAACCAATGACCTGATCGCACAGGCACAAAAGGCCCAGCTCAGATCCTGAGGGACCCAGCGTCAGTGTTGTCCACGTTCCAGGGCTCCTGTGGCTCAGTCCATGGCCGTGTCTGCTCCTCTTCTCACCCCCTGCTGCTTCCTTCTCCCCCTCCTACCAGGGCGCCCGCCACAAGCCACTTGCCCAGGGACCCCCATCTCAGGCTCTGTTGTGGGGAACTCACCTGCACTGGACCCTTCCTAGAGCAGCCTCCCCGCGTACAGCCCTCCAGGGCTGTGTTCTCTCCTGGGAGCCTAAAGGACCACTCTGTCCACCTTCTAGGGAGGAGGGTGACTGTGTCTTGGGGCAGTTTAAACCCAAGCTCCCCCCGCAAAGGCATCCATTCTCCCCACGTCCGCTCCGGCTCCTCATGCGATCCCCCCTCTCCATGTAATTCCCACGCCTCTCTCGGATCTCAGTTTGATTAACAGGCGTTTATAAACAAGTCCCTGAAAAATAAAAGGCAGGGCCTCCCCAGGGCAGCCACGCTCTGTTGGCAAGTTACTTTCTAACTGATATTTTTGTTGTCTTGATTTTTATATAGATAAAAAATTAAGCTAATTAATATACACTGCTTTCCTTCTTCAGTCTTGGGAACCTCTTTGCCCCATAGTGAATTGGTTACCAGATTTCAGTAAAGGGTCTGTCTTTTTAATTGCAATTCATTAATGGATTTACAAGGGAGGGAAGATGATTAAGTCCCACTAAGAGGATTATTTTGCATTTCTTCTCTTTTAATTGTGTGGTTTTGTCCTGGCCCAAAGCTCTTGAAAAATGGAGTAGGGGAGAGTCCCAATACCTCATCTGTTCCAAATGCAAATGCAGTAAATATGGGTGAAGACAGGTGTGTGTGGGGCATTTCTGTGCTGGGGGGACACCCCCTCCCCTTTAGAACTGCCTCTTAGCGGGGGCTGATGAGAGTGTGTGCAGGTGGACAGGTGCACCCTAGAACTAGGCAGGAGAATAGCTGAGGGTGCTCAGGAGAGCCAAGGGGTTATTTGGTACAGGGCACAGTGTCCTGATTATTGCTGGGCTGTCCAAGTGCTGTGTCTGGGGCCTGGCTCAATGCTGGGTGTGGGATTTTCAGACTCCAAGAAGGTCAAGTCACCTGGTTGATCCTATTCAGGCTTCCTTTTCTTCAGGGATTCCCCAGCATGGGCTCTGCTGTCAGATAACTCCCTGGGATTCCAAAACTCTGGCCTAGATATCATGTTTTCAAATGGGTGGGATGTCTGGAATCTGCATTTTAAGGAATCTTCCATGAGAGCCCGAGTGGTCACCCTGGCTCTGCTCAGGCCTGGGTGGGAGACGTCCTCAGCTGGAGATGCTTGCCAGAGCCTCCCCTTCTCTGAGCCTCCCTGTCCATTTGGGAGCCTGGTTAATGCCTCCCAGGTTTCTTACCGAAGACTTGAGATGCTGTACCAGAACATGCTTGATCTGTCACCTGCACATAGTAGGCACTTTATCAGTATGAATATCTCCAAAAGCTCAGCACCAGTAAGGGCCACTCAACACTTTCTGAGGTGCCCCATGGCAGAGTGTGATGGTGGTAAATTATTTCCCAGTTTGAACTTAACTCTGCTTCCCAGATGGGTCCGAATTCTTCCCTATTTCCACACCCAGCACCTGACACTGTGTCTGGCTCAAAACAGATACTCAGTAAGTCCATTTGTTGAGTAAGTGAATTAGTGAATGATGTCTTGGGTCACACATAACACAACTACTGCCTTTGCTCCCCATAGTCCATCGACTGAAACAGCAATAAAGATTAACACAACAGTGGTGACAGCTGACACGTATGAGTGTCTCATGCACCACGCTCTGTCATTCTTCACAACTCCCAGACATAAATTCCAGTCGATTCCATTTTATAGATGAGGGAAAATGAGACTCAGAGAGCAGAAGGGATTTGTGGGGCTAAGTGGGGGAGCTGGGACTTGAGTTGGGGCTCATGTGCCCCACATGGCCCCCAGGCTTGTCCTTCCCAGTGGAAAAAGTCACATCTTCCATGTACTTTTTTTTTTTTTTAAAGAAGATTTATAGCTGCATACAAGAATGGGGTACAGGCCAGAAGTGTGGGCGATGAGAGGATTCACCAGAGACAGAGTGGGGAACAGAACAGGCAGATCAACTGAAATGTACTGCTGAGGGGAGCAGCGGGCGAGTCAGAAGAGGTCCGCTGAGCCATGTGGGTAGCTCCCAGGCCAGGGATCAAACTGGTGCTGCAGTGGCTGTGGATAGCTTCATAGTGCTGTGCTTAACCCCTTGCACCACCAGGGAGGCCCTTCCATGTACTTTTCAGGGGAGTTGGGTTGGGGACCCTTCTCTTATGGGCACTTCATCTGGACATACTTTCAGCACACTTCTTTATCCTTGCAACCCCATTCAGCCTGGAGACTTTTTTGCGGAGGTTGCCGTGGCTACTTGGGGATGGGTTGCCTTTCTGGAAGGTTCTGTTCCCACTTGTCAAATTTTTATTTTCCTATCTGGTAGGACTCTTTGCACAGAAACAGAAGGCACTCTCCTGGCTTCTCTCTCCGGAATTCTGCTCATAGATGCCTGGGGCTTCCTTTTGGAGGGAGGAGGAGCAGGCAGCACCCCAACATGCATCCTAGTCTCAGGGGCCATGGGGGCCATCACAGCCTTTGATCCCTTCCTCATGGGGCCTCCCTCACAGGATCTGTGGTCAAATCATTCCCCTTGGCTGCCATGGTGACTCCTTTGCCAAGGCCAGGCTGGAGGCAGCAGACAAAGGTGGGGCCTCCAAGAAGAAGGGAAGCCTAAGCTGTCTTGGGCTAGGCTAGGTGAGGCCATGACCACCTGCGCAGATGGCACCCCTTACCACCCCCTCCCCTCACCTCTCTCTCTCTCTTCCAGCCCCTCCCACCCCTCCCCTGAGCAGACCCAAAGCTCTGGGAGTGAGGCCAGCTCACTGGGGTCTGAGAGGTGACTGTAGGTGGTACATGGACAAACATTAATATTTATATTTACCAGCATGCATGTATTTTATGGGCACCGGAACACTCCCCCCACCCCAACTGTGCTGAGCCCTTGTTTTCATGGATGTTACTGCTCAGAGTGAGGCAAATTGAAAATAAAGTCCATCCCAAGACAGTTTGAAGGGAACCACTGAGTCACTATCACAACAAGTGGAGGGTGGGACTGAGAAACTACCAGAGCTTGGGAGACACCACTGAGGCCATGAGCCCCGGTGAGACACTGGGGCCAGCCTGGCTCTGCCGTGATGACCCTGAGCCTCAGCTTCCTCATCCATGATGTGGAGTGAGTGGGAACAGCTCACAGGGCTCTGGTGAGGGCATGGGGGGCAGGTACAGAGCTGGGCATGGGGTCAGTGCTCAGCGGCAGTCATGGCCGATGGATGTTCAGCAAATAAGCAGGTGACTAAAGCCACAAGGAGTGATAAGCCCGGAGGAATAGAGTGGAATGAGTGGGGGGTGGGACAGTGCCTTAGGTATAGTGTCCTATACCTAAGGACAAGGGGAGGGAGGAAGGAGCAGCAAGTGAGGCTGAGGTGGGGGGCCAGAGGGCCTAGAGAGGTCAAAGGGCCAGAGGGGAGTGGAGGAGGAGGAAGGGGCATGGCCCAGGTGTTGCCATGAGGCCACATCTGGGCTGCAGGATGGCACTGATGGAACCAAGTCTTTGGTCAGAGTGGACTGGACAGGGCAGTGCCCCAGAGCTACAGCAGCTCCCACCAGCTACAGGAGCCTCCCAAGGCTCAGTGGGGGGAGTAGCTTGTCCCGCCCCACAGCCACGTCTGCCTGGCTCTGGGTTCT